ACTGCATGGAAGACGCCGTACGTGAGCTCTACCCCGAGACTAATGAAGAGTTGGCACTTTCTATGGTAACTGAGGGACCACACACACCCCACACACACGCACACACGCTAATATCTGCTGCTGCGCTAATGTGTGACACGTCTGTCTGTCTGTCTGTCTGTACACCTGTGATCTGGGCTGCTTTCTTTCTTTTCTGTTTTCTTTGTCTCTTGGATTACCATTGTTTCACATGTAGGTGAATGATAGAAGGATGGAGAACCAAAGGCTTGTGTGATTAACTGGCATCTTTGAAGATCATGAGTCTGGATGATGATGATTCTGGACGCTTTGGGGAAAATCCATCATGTTACTCACAAACTAAAATAAAGTGATTTGATGAACGCCAGGTGTGTGTGTGTTTGTGTGCATTAGTGGATGAGGAACAGCACTGATGTCATGTGAGATGTGCTGAGCCGTCACTGGCTTCTGTCTCAGCTGCACTTTAACTTAAAGAACACTTTATTTTACAGTAGTAATTACTGTGTTTAATTACATGCAACTGACCTAAACCACACTGATCCTAACCCTACAGTGTGTAAATGTAGTTATTATTATTAATCTGTACTTCAATGTATAATTGCACTGTAACATGGACACAATATTGGGTTACACTTTATTTAACAGTATCCATGTTACATGTACTTACTATAGTAATAACGGCAAATTATGCATAATTACATATAATAACCCCTCAACCAAACCCTATAGTAAGTACATAGTTAATATTACTCAGTACTTGCATGTATTATTACACTGTAACACAGACACCTTAAAATAAAGTGTAACTGGATATTATTAGTGTAATTACACATGTTTACTGAGCAAAAGTGATGTCCTTACTATAGGATTTGGTTTATATAATGTATAGTTATTACTGTGGTAACTACATGTAGGACACTGTCAAATAACGTGTTTCTAAAGTTTCATTCTCTTTATCCCTAATATCATATTTTATTAAAAGGAATTTCACCCTTTTATGAATTCTTACACACACAGTCACACACACACACAAACAGTCTCACACACACTCTCTCATGTACACCATGAAAATGACAAATAAAGGAATCTCGAATCACACACAGTCTCACACACACACACAAACAGTCTCACACACTCTCTCACACACACACTCACTGTTCTGAGAAGAAGAAATATTTTGCAAATTTAAACCAATGAGGTTTATATACATTAAATATGGCGTAAGAGTTCAGGTTAGGCCACAGTCGCTCTCTCTCTCTATCTCTCTCTCTCACTCACTCACTCTCTCTCTCACACACACACACTCGCTCACTCTCTATCTCTCTCACTCACTCACTCACTCACTCTCTCTCACACACACACTTGCTCTCTCTCTCACACTCTCTCTCTCTCTCTCTCTCACACACACACACTCGCTCTCTATCTCTCTCACTCACTCTCTTTCTCTCTCTGACACTCACTCTCTCGCTCTCTCTCTCTCTCTCTCTCTCTCTCTCTCTCTTTCTCTCTCTCACTCACTGTAGTTGATCCGAGGACAGTGGAAAGCCCGTATCTCTCGCAGCGCTGTGTGGAAACTGCTGTCATGGACCGCAAACACTGGATCGGGTTATAAATATCCCTCTGAGATGCGAATCGCTGATCTCAGCAGTTATTGGCTTTAGAGGAAGAGCTATTTATGGAAGGGAGTTGCATAACTCAGTTTTACCCGATCAGAGCAGCACTGGGTCATCATTACACAGAGACTGCAGACGCTTCCGGTTCCTGCGATCATCAGTGTGTTCATCTCACATTATACAGGGGTATATCCCAGTCCTATCCCAGTCCTACCCCAGTTCTACCCCAGTTCTATCCCAGTCCTACCCCAGTCCTACCCCAGTTCTACCCCAGTCCTATCCCAGTCCTACCCCAGTCCTACCCCAGTCCTATCCCAGTCCTATCCCAGTCCTACCCCAGTCCTACCCCAGTCCTATCCCAGTCCTACCCCAGTCCTATCCCAGTCCTACCCCAGTCCTACCCCAGTCCTATCCCAGTCCTACCCCAGTCCTATCCCAGTCCTATCCCAGTCCTACCCCAGTTCTACCCCAGTTCTATCCCAGTCCTACCCCAGTCCTACCCCAGTCCTATCCCAGTCCTATCCCAGTCCTACCCCAGTCCTATCCCAGTCCTACCCCAGTCATACCCCAGTCCTACCCCAGTCCTACCCCAGTCCTATCCCAGTCCTACCCCAGTCCTACCCCAGTCCTATCCCAGTCCTATCCCAGTCCTATCCCAGTCCTACCCCAGTTCTACCCCAGTCCTATCCCAGTCCTACCCCAGTCCTACCCCAGTCCTATCCCAGTCCTACCCCAGTCCTATCCCAGTCCTATCCCAGTCCTACCCCAGTTCTACCCCAGTTCTATCCCAGTCCTACCCCAGTCCTACCCCAGTCCTATCCCAGTCCTATCCCAGTCCTACCCCAGTCCTATCCCAGTCCTACCCCAGTCATACCCCAGTCCTACCCCAGTCCTACCCCAGTCCTATCCCAGTCCTACCCCAGTCCTATCCCAGTCCTACCCCAGTCCTATCCCAGTCCTATCCCAGTCCTATCCCAGTCCTACCCCAGTCCTATCCCAGTCCTACCCCAGTCATACCCCAGTCCTACCCCAGTCCTATCCCAGTCCTACCCCAGTCCTATCCCAGTCCTATCCCAGTCCTACCCCAGTCCTACCCCAGTCCTATCCCAGTCCTACCCCAGTCCTACCCCAGTCCTACACCAGTCCTACCCCAGTCCTACCCCAGTCCTATCCCAGTCCTACCCCAGTCCTATCCCAGTCCTACCTCAGTCCTACTCCAGTCCTACCCCAGTCCTACCCCAGTCCTACACCAGTCCTACCCCAGTCCTACCCCAGTCCTATCCCAGTCCTACCTCAGTCCTACTCCAGTCCTACCCCAGTCCTATCCCAGTCCACTGGATGAGGAGAGAGGCCGGACATATGTGTAAATAACTGTATTCAACACTGATAATAATCATAAATGTATCTTGAGCATCAGATCCTCATATTAGAGTGATTTCTGAAGGATCATGTGACACTGAAGACTGGAGTAATGATGCTGAAAATTCAGCTTTGATCACAGGAATAAATTACACTTTACTATATATTCACATAGAAAACAGCTGATTTACATTAGAATAATATTTCACAATATTACTGGATTTCTTTGTATTTTTAATCAAATAAATGCAGCCTTGGTGAGCAGAAGAGACTTCTTTTAAAAACATTAAAAATCTTCCTGATCCCAAACTTTTCAACAGCAGTGTGTGTGTGTGTGTGTGTGTGTGTATACCTATACCTATATAAGAGCTGCAGATGATGCAGTTTTTTAACAACTCTAGCAGAAATACTGTGAGCAGAAAAATAGATTTTGCAGAAACGCTGCAGAAAACGAGAATGCAGCAAATAATTTGTATCTGTCATACAGACTCGAGTGTTTGACTAACCCAGGCCTGTGACGCATGTACCGTACTCGTTTAGTTTTTACCCATTATTATCAGCATATTAAGAGCATATTACAATTTGTTTTGATGAGAGTTTTGATTATAGATTATGTACATTGTTTGTTTTTAGTAGTTTATTACTTTGACCTCGATTACTGTGAAAGTATAAAAATGGTCCTTACTGTTCGTAAGAGGGAAACCCAGTGTGTTCTCTCAGTCCCAAGGCCAATATGTGTGTGGAAGCTTGTTTACGCCACAGAATAAAAAATAAAAAAGGTAATTGCGACTTTTTATCTCACAATTCTGACTTTTTTTCTCAAAAATGAAGTCGCAATTGCGAGAAATAAACTCACAATTGTGAGATAAAAAGTCGCAATAACCTTTTAAAATGTTTTATTCTGTGGCAGAAACAAGCTTCAATAAATATGTGCCATATCACTGTAAAAAAAGTAGGCCTATTGTTGGTTTAACTTAAAAAAAAAGCAAGTGACCTGGTTGCGTTCAAATTTTGAGTTCACTGAAATAAAATATTTGAGTTGACACAACAAAAGAGATTGGTTTAATGAAAAGAAACTCAAAATATAGTGTTAGGCCTATCTGAACCACATTAATTAGCCTAAGTTAATTTGACAAAAGATAAAAAGTTGTAATAACAAATCATGAAAATATATTTTTTTACAGTGAGGTGTCTAAATGTAAAATAATAATAGTGATAATAATAAAAATAGCCTGGTAAAACATCTGATCTAACCTTTCATATCCAGGTGGGAGAAATATTTGCTTTTTTGGGGGGTAAATATTGGTAAAAATTCTTTGATGACTCGATGGAAATGTATAATTGTTCCAATTCCAAAAAAAAAAAAAAAAATACACTGTAAAAAAAGTATTGTTGGTTTGACTTAAAGTAAGTTACCTGGTTAATTGCCTTGGTTGTATTTGAGTTAATACAACAACTGAGATTGGTTTAATAATAGCCTACATAGAAACTCAAAATATTGTGTTGTCTGAACCACATTAATTATTTAAGTTGATGTGACAATATAAAAAATTGTGATAAATCATGAAAATATACAGTTTTACAGTGTATTGTCTGGACCTCCACTGGGAAGGAAATATAGAGGGAACTTTAATCGAATAATAAACCCTTCACAGACTATAGTGGACAGAGAGGAGCCTGGTATATCAATATCCTACGAATTTATAAATAAGTAGATATTTGTTTAAATAGACCCATTTTCTGCCAAAATGCATAGTTAATAGTTGTTGCTACTGTAAAATCCTAATGGTGGTAAAAAAAACACACACATTAGCAATCACAATTTCATCTTTTCGATTTAAAATAATCTAGGCTGCATTATTTCCCACAATTGAAAACTCAAAGTGTTGTAGTGAGTAAGGTGTGAGAACAATAAGGCATATCGCATGTGCTGAGGAATGCTTGAGTGTTGGTGCGAGTGTCCAGCGATTGCTCGGGTGACCTGTCACTCACAGCGCGCGCATAAAAAAACTGAGGAAAAAAGAAAAAACATAGTTACAAGATGGCGACCAGCTACTGCCTGAAGACTGGAAAACAATAGAGACAGCGCAGCAGGGACGAGTTTATTCCCTCGCCGTCCGCTTTCTCGTGTCCGTGTCGAGCTCAACCGGACCACACGAGTCGGTTGTGTGTACTTCAAGACTTTTAACGCGCTTTTGAAAGAAAGTGAGTTTATAATGCTTTGTTCGAGGGCTAGTTAGCATTCAGGCTAAGCTACATCCGTAGCTGTAATGTAACTGTGAGGATCAGCTGTTAGCCGCGCTGCTACTTTAAAAGTTACTTTTACTACTAAAACTCGCTTGTAACTCTCCAAGTCGGTGTTTTATGGCTGAATGGATGTAACGTACACGGTTTAAAACATCATTTTCTAACCTTTCGTCGATGGGGTTTTATCTCAAGTGCGTCTTTTGTCAAACTTAAACTGTGAGGCGAAAAAAAACGTTTATTTTTAAGTTGTTTATTTTTTGTTGTTGCGCGATTTAACGACGTGTTATGAACAAACAAGCCTAAACGTGAGGTAAATATTATTGTAAAGGGTTTAAATAGAAACTCCTCAAACTAAAAGAGTCCTTTCAAACTTTCCTCTAAATTACATTCACGTCTAGCTGCTAAACAAATGCAACTTCTAAAATGAATAATTTATCAGTGTTTGTGAACTCTTTCATTCATAAAACCGCGGTTTTAATTTCATTCTGTCTTGTGTCAGGACTCTAGACTTGTTTATACTTCAGTAGTCGTGTAGTTAAAAGCAAACTTTACACGCGTTATTTCTGAATAAAAGCGCTCTCGTCTAAACTATGCGCCGAGTCTTTTGTTGTTTAAGGAGGCAGATAGTGAAGATAATGGAGTCAGTGGAGTGTGTTTTGTAAAGAGACTCTTGCGAACACGAACGGCACGATCAGTGTGAGAGTTGCTGCCAGTATCCAGACGCGTTGTGACGCGGATGATGGCGGATTATGTGGTGCCGCGGCACAACGCGGTGATGGAGCGGCTGCGGCGGCGCATCGAGCTCTTCCGCCGGCATCACACGGGCTGCGAGAGCCGCTACCAGAGCAACGCGGTGGAGCGGCAGGAGATGGAGCGGCAGCAGACCTTTGCGTTGCACCAGCGGTGCCTGCAGACCAAGGCCAAGCGGTCAAGCAAGCACCGGCAGCCCGCGGCAGCGAGCACGGAGCCCGCGGGGCACCGAGGCACCGGCGCCGGGGGAGGCGCGGAGGAGCCCGGGGAGCAGAGCAGGAACAACACGCTGATCGCGGTGAGTGTGTGTGTGTGTGGAAGGGCTTGTGATGTTCCTGTGGGTCACATGACTAGGTTCAAATCTCATATGTGACCCTGGACCACAAAACCATTCACATGTGTAATTTTTTTGAAACTGAGATTTATACATCACCTGAAAGCTGACTAAATGTGTTAGGATATGACAATATTTGGCTGAGATGCAACTATTGAAGATCTGGAATCTGAGGGTGCAAAAAAATGAAACATTGAGAAAATCGCCTTTAATGTTGTGCATTTATGTTCGCGATTGTGCTGCATCCACTCACAAAAATATGTTTCATATATTTACGGTAGGAAATTTACAAAATGGAACATTATCTTTACTTAATATCCTAATGATTTTTGACATAAAAGAAAAATCGATAATTTTGACCATTTTTTTTTACCACAAATAGTAGCTATGACCCACTAGCGGTCAGTCAAGCGGCCACTCAGTCTTACTTTTGAGCTTTAAATTAGACCAATCTCCGTTTCTATGTAACTGACTTAAACAGTGGTGAACTAACTAAAAAATGTGATGTCTAACTCGTAAGACTAGTCTTTGCAGTTTCTGCATCAGGTGCTTGAGTGAGTGCACGTGCTGGTCCCGGAGCATCTGCAGGTGTGTGTGTGTGTGTGTGGGCACTGGCCGAGGTCATGTGACCATGACAGGAGCACGCGCCCTGCACATGTCACATGATGAGCTCTGTGCACGGAGTGTGTGTGTGACACAGATGTTTTGAGAGATCAGTGAATGATCACCTCATGGCAGTGTTTGTTTGTTTTTCCACTTTCCAAACTCTTTCAAAGCATCCCGTTTCTAGAGTTCTGCTTTTGTGCAGATTCACTTTCAGTCCAGAAATAGTCTAGTGTGAATGTCATTGCATTAGATAAATGATATAATAAAAAATAGTAGTAAGGAAAAAATGCACAATACTCAACTCAAACAATCCTTTTGCGTTTATTTCTTGTCAAATGATTTTTAACAAATTCAACATGTTATTTAGCAGTTCTTGCAAAAAATAATAAAAATGATCTAATGCAGTTCTAAAATTAAAGTCGTCATGAAAGGGAAGTTGCGCTGGTCTTTTCTCCTCTATTGTGTCGTATATCGAGTGAAGCGCTTCAGGAACAAGAACACATGTGGGCGGGGCTTGATTGTGTCTGTGGGGAATTGATTGGATGGTTGTGGTTTGCTATTGGCTGATCTCATGTGAGTGACAGGTTATAGCCCCGCCCCGTCATCAGAGAAGAGAAGAGATGCTGCAAGAGGAACTGATTCTGAGTCGAGATTATTAACACAATAATGATGTGCACGGGTAAATCATTTAGAATAAACACTGCAATATTCCATAAAACATAAAAATCTCACAATTTTGACTATTTCTCAGAATTGCGTGTTATAAACTCGCAATTGCAAGAAATGAACTCGCAATTCTGACTTTTTCTCGCAATTGTGAGTTATAAAGTCCAATTCTAAGGAAAAAAAGACGTTTGTATCACGCAATTCTGAGAAAAACAGTCAGAATTGTGAGATGACAAAGCCTTATTTATCTTGTGTTCTGTGTGGGAAACGAGCTTCCATAGCTATCTGATCTCGCTGGCGGTTCAGCTGTCTTGCCCAGGGCGAGTCTCTTCAAACCGCCGCTCCATTATTACACCTGATCTGGGGTCAGTGGTGTTCTTTAAAATCACCATCATCTCAAAATTAACAATTCTAAATTATTTAAAAAACGTTGCAGTTTTTACAGGGCTCGACATTTACGGTTGTCATAAAACATTCCTGCACAAACACAAAATGACTACATTGTGGGAAATGATTGCGATGCTGATTGTGTTAAAAAAAAGGTTGCAGATCGTGTGTTTGGAGCAAAAACTGCTGGGTTTGGATCGATGGCCATTCGATCGGTGCATCGCTGCTATTGTTGTTTATATATTCTAAATATATGGACTTATAATGGAGTAGGGTTGCAAAGGGGCAGAAAGTTTCCGGTAAATTTCCATGGGAAGTTAAGCTGGGGAATTTTGGAAATATTCCATATTAGAAACTTTCCATGGGAATTATGGGAATTTAGGGGAACTAACTGGGAATCACGTGCCAAGCATGACGCGTCACCATGGAGATTGCGATGTCGGGATGTCTGTCAGCCATCACCGGCCCAACCCTAGTAAGAATACTAATGCAATGGCATGAACAGATACATAAATAGTAAGGCTAGCTAAACAACTGGAATGATCTTGAAAACATATTGCAGGAGGCAGAGAAAAACACCCACATGAGGTAGCTAGCATCTGCCTTATGTGGTAAATAAAGTTATGCTAGCTTATTTAACATCTAACTTATCAGCATTGCTACTAGATGAATACATTTGTATGTGATATTTGCAATTTAAACATTTAATAAATATATTTCCCCATAATATCATCAAAACTTACTTCACTTTGTTTAGTCCACAGGCTCAAATGTGTGCCTTCAATAGTCTTGTGCTTGGGCTTCTGTACAGTGATGGAGGCATGCACAGTGTCCGTAGGGGGTGTGGTCTCAATAGCCATGCAGTAAGCAGTGTTCTATGTGCATGTGATTGAGGAATGGCATGGAGACTCAAGTGTATTTGAATGGCATCTGTTTGTTTTAGTCAAGATTATGCTAAAATATACTTTCCTCAACTATATTTAAGTTCCCTATGAAGAGCCAACCCTCTACTTTGAAAATTCCCACTTTATTCCCATAAATTCCTGTTAATTCCCTTAAATTCCCATTAATTCCCATGGAAAGTTTCCATCTTTGAAAATTCCCAGAATTTTGCAACCCTATAATGGAGCTGTACGATTATCTTTAAAAGATTGTGATCTTGATTCAAACACACACTCAATCTTATTCCTAAATGACAGCGATTCGGCTCTTATGTCTATTAAACCTTTAATCACAGGAACGTTCAGATCTGTGTTCTGATCCAGAGAGCCGTCGTCATGTGTAGATATGAAACCGCTTCACAAACAGTCTTTTCAACCGCGAGTTACGACACTTTCTACAATCCGATACATTCTGGATGGACCGTATCAGGGGGTTCCCCTCTTCCCAGATAACATCACAGGAGGAAAGAGAAGGCAAATGGCATTTCCACTTCACGCTGACTTTATAGCGCCCATTGTGTTGAGAATGCAGACAGTGTGTGCGCACATCTAACACAATAACATGTTAAATAGTGCTAGAAGTAGAAGGGTTTGTGTTCTGGTGGCTGAAATAAACCCATTGAGCCACGAGGATTCATTTCATTAACCGTTCGTTTGACTCGTGTCAGTGATACACAGACTGGACCCATAAAACGAGCTCTTGTTGTTCATGACGTATCTGAACATCTGACCTCATGAACATGAAGCAGGGATGGTCTAGTGACTGATGAGTCCGCTCTTCCCCGCTCCGTCTAGAGGTGATCATTCACTCGCTCGTTGTGGTTTTCTGTGGGAGTGTTTCTACATGCTCAGGTTTAGTCACTCTGAGGCTGTGGCGATCTTGCCAAACCTCATGTGTGTGTTTCTTGCTCATATGAGCACAATAGGTTACAGGAACCGCTCTGTGAATGTGAATCTCAAGAGTGGGAAATCTTGATTCTTATAGATCAGCCTTTTAACTCTAGATTTTTTTAGTCATATAGGAGAGTAATAGTGGTTTATCCACAAATGAAAACGTATATTCATTCCCCATTTGTCATCCAAACTACATCAGATCTGGTGGGCCGCAGCGCAGATGTGTGTGTTTGATGTGCAGAGCCAATGCTGTTTGTTCTTCAAGCTCATTTGAGCTTACGCAAGTACGATTGAGCTGCCGTTGACCATATTTGATGTGCTCTATGTATGTGCTTCTATCAATATTTATATATTAAATAAATAAAGGTCTGTTCATCATATAAAGCGATCGTTTATCTTCAGGAGACTGATTAAACAGCTCAACTCATATGGATTACTTTTTTGATGTCTTTATGAACTTTTTGAAGCATCAAAGTTTTGGATGAATGGACTGGTTTCATAAAAAAAAAAAAAAAATCTTTATCTAATAGGTCTTATGGGTTTGGAATGACACAAGGGTGAGTTAAATGATGGCAGTATTTTAATTTTTGGGTGAAACTATCATTTTAAGGCTGTTGACGTGACCCGCTATAGGCTAGTGCCAGCAGTGCGACATATTACTTCACGTCCAGAACCAGCGGGTCGTGACCCAAAGGTGGGTTTAGACCGTTTTGAGTGTGTGGTCAAAGAAACGACAACATAAAAACATAATTCGAGATGTTTTTCTGATGCGAGACATGTATTGTGAACGGCGTTTGTGAAAGCTGTTGATTCTTCTGTCACGCAGAAGCTCCTCATATGAGCCGCTCCCAGTATAAGAGGCTTTCCCTGCCATTAAAGCTTGGATACACGCCTATGTCTACGTCTCCTTCAATTAATAATAATGTCTAGTTCTGTGGCTGGGATATACGTAAACCTACTAACATCAGTCGCCGTGATTTCTGGAGTGACTTATCGCGAGAGGAAATAAATGACGTTTTAGTCGCGTAACATCGGTTAATGGAAACGCCATTTCGCAATCGTTTTTTATCGACATTTAGAAAATATCGCAATAGTTTTGTGCAAAGTCTGTTATAGAAACGCAGCTACTGTTAAAGGGATACTCCACTTTTTTTGGAAATAGGCTCATTTTACAACTCCCCCAGAGTTAAACTGTTGAGTTTGACCGTTTTTGAATCCATTCAGCCGATCTCCGGTTCTGGCGGTACCACTTTTAGCATAGCTTAGCATACATCATTGGAGTTGACAAGACCATTAGCAGTTCTCAAAAAAAAATGACCAAAGAGTTTTGATATTTTTCCTATTTAAAACTTGACTCTTCTGTAGTTACATCGTGCACTAAGACCGACGGGAAATGTAAAGTTGCGATTTTCTAGGCTGATATGGCTAGGAACTATACTCTCATTCCTGCGTAATAATCAAGAAACTTCA